GCCCTCGTCGATAAATCAAAATGTCATCAGCAAATGACAAAGTCCTTCCCTTTCCATTCAACTGCTGCTCAGTGATCATCACCGTATAAACGTTGAATAAGACTGGTGATAGCGGTGATCCCTGTGGCAAGCCTGGACATATCGTTTGCGGTTCTGAGGACCAGCTACCACATCTTAGTACAATCTTTCTCTGGAACAGGACCGCGGCAATCCAGCAGATCAGAATAGGATTGACTTCTAGTTTAAGCAGTAATTGCATTAAATAATCATATGGTACTTTATTGTAGGCATCTTCTAAGTCCAACACTGCCGCACATGTCTCTTCTTTAATCTGAAATCCCTCGTACACATCGTAGGCGAAAACAGCAGCATTGGACCATGTCTCTTTCTTCAATCTGTACCCTCCAAGTGTTGATGGGAACTTATCATGTAGTTCCAAGTAGGTGGTCAATCTTTGTGCGACAATTTTTTCCAAAAGTTTGCCAATAGTATTCTGCATCGAGATGATTCTGTAGCCGCAGATCTTTGAGTGGTCTTTATTAGGCTTTGGTAGTGGGAACAAATAACTATGGAGCCATTCCTCTTGTATCTGGCCACTCTGGATGCTGATATTGAATTCCTTTGCCACGCTTTTCAAATCAGAATTCGACATCATCAGCATGTCATTGTATCGGATGCCGTCAGGGCCTGGAGCAGTGCTGCGCGATTTCTTGAGGCAAGTTCTTAAGGTGTCTGCAGTGATTGTGAAATCAGTGCCTAGCTCAGTGTTCTCGCACAGCATCGACAGTTTCATCTTAACCCATATTCTTGCAGCTTTGTCTTTTTGGTCAGTTTGCTCCAAGTAGCGCGCAAGAAGGGTTTTTCCTTTATCAGCATCAGTTCTCTGCCATATCAGGTCTGTACCCTGAAAATTAGGGATACCCCTTGGTCGTGCGGCGCCGTGCATGCTCCGTTGAAGGCGCCAGAATGTCACAAGAGATCCCTCGAAGCAAACGCTCTTGCAGAATTCGTTCCATTTCGCTGTCTTGGCTTCTTTCGCAATTAACTTGAAAGCCACTGTCCGCTTGTTGACCTCATCTTTCAGACTGATCAGGCGTTCAGAAAGTGACGGATCAATTTTCCTTGCCTTTTGCCATGCCTTGACAGCGTTCCTTTTTTCTAGCCAGGCTATGTTGACTACTTCATTCCACCATGGTGGCTGGGCCCATCTCTCCCGCCGTCTGCGATCTGCTCTTGTATTATGTCGTCTGATTTTGCTAATGGCATCTTGCCCTGTACGGTCATATATAAAAGCAGGCACATTGATAACATGACATTTGTTGTTGCTCTTCTCCACCAGGACGACGCAAGGAAAGTGATCACTGTCATGGTATCCCAATGTGCTCCACCTGCATCCTGGTGCAATGGAGGGAGACACTAGGGCCAGGTCAATTACGCTGTCAGAATCCCCTTGTCGGGTTGCCATTCGGGTAACCTTTCCGTCGTTCAAGCATACTAGATCGGCAGACACTAGAGCATCCTCCAGGTCTTCCCCCTGTTTATTGGTGATTACATTGCCCCACTGGTTTCCTCTGGCGTTGAAATCTCCGCAGTAAAGGACTTTCTTTTCCTCAGTCTGGAGCAAACTCTGCCATTTCGCTGTATCCACCTTTCCATTGCAGGCGTACACATTGACAATCACAAACTGGGCCGGGCCCATCACTCTGACTGCGTGTACTTGTAGGTCGTCATTATCCCACTCAGACATGTCCACCTCAGACACCAGTATGTGGTCACGAACAAGAATGAGCTGTCCGAGGTGCCGTCTATTGTAGAAGGATTGGAAGCCCGCAATTTTAACCATCTCGTCACCGAGGTGTGTTTCCTGTAGGACAACAATGTCGTTGCTGTAGAGGAGCTTCTCGAAAATGGGTCGGCGTTGACTGAACGAGGCGCAGTTCCAGTAGAGAACGCGAACATACTTTAAGCTGAGTCTCTCACATTTCAGTCGCTTCCTGCAGGCGCCACCGTGCTTGCCTGTTCGCGTTCTCCTTGTCCGTCTACGGGTTGTTTTGAATTGGTAGATAGTCGCCATCGGACGTTGAATACACCCTGAAGGAAGTCTGAACTCACGTGCATGTACTCCATTGCACGGTTCAGACCCCATTCCGATGAAACTTTCACATTATACGTGAGCGAAAATATTTAATTTGCGCCATTCGCCTCAACGGATGAAAAAGCGTGCCGCCATTGTGGCTGTTTACACCGGAAGTCCAATTCACACATGAATCAATGTTGAAAATGACATCAACAACCAACAAGAGTAATTTACATGTTTCACGCAAGCTAAGACACCACAGACAACTTCCCTGTGAGAGATACAAGGCTGCCCTGTAGTGGCAACAAGAACAGACCCATAGCCTCTCGTTTAGAGATCCAAGGCTGCCCTGTGGTGGCAACAAGAACAGACCCACAGCCTCCCTGTGAGAGATCCAAGGCTCCCCTGTGGTGGCAACAAGAACAGACCCACAGCCTCCCTGTGAGAGATCCAAGGCTCCCCTGTGGTGGCAACAAGAACAGACCCACAGCCTCCCTGTGAGAGATCCAAGGCTCCCCTGTGGTGGCAACAAGAATAGACCCACAGCCTCCCTGTGAGAGATCCAAGGCTCCCCTGTGGTGGCAACAAGAACAGACCCACAGCCTCCCTGTGAGAGATCCAAGGCTCCCCTGTGGTGGCAACAAGAACAGACCCACAGCCTCCCTGTGAGAGATCCAAGGCTCCCCTGTGGTGGCAACAAGAACAGACCCACAGCCTCCATGTGAGAGATACAAGGCTGCCCTGTAGTGGCAACAAGAACAGACCCATAGCCTCTCGTTTAGAGATCCAAGGCTGCCCTGTGGTGGCAACAAGAACAGACCCACAGCCTCCCTGTGAGAGATTCAAGGCTGCACTGTGGTGGCAAAAAGAACAGACCCATAGCCTCCCTGTGAGAGATCCAAGGCTGCCCTGTGGTGGAAACAAGAACAGACCTATAGCCTCCATGTGAGAGATCCAAGGCTCCCCTGTGGTGGCAACAAGAACAAACCCATAGCCTCCATGTGAGAGATCCAAGGCTCCCCTGTGGTGGCAACAAGAACAGACCCACAGCCTCCCTGTGAGAGATTCAAGGCTGCACTGTGGTGGCAAAAAGAACAGACCCATAGCCTCCCTGTGAGAGATCCAAGGCTGCCCTGTGGTGGCAACAAGAACAGACCCACAGCCTCCCTGTGAGAGATTCAAGGCTGCCCTGTGGTGGCAACAAGAACAGACCCACAGCCTCCCTGTGAGAGATTCAAGGCTGCCCTGTGGTGGCAACAAGAACAGACCCACAGCCTCCCTGTGAGAGATCCAAGGCTCCCCTGTGGTGGCAACAAGAACAAACCCATAGCCTCCATGTGAGAGATCCAAGGCTCCCCTGTGGTGGCAACAAGAACAGACCCACAGCCTCCCTGTGAGAGATTCAAGGCTGCACTGTGGTGGCAAAAAGAACAGACCCATAGCCTCCCTGTGAGAGATCCAAGGCTGCCCTGTGGTGGCAACAAGAACAGACCCACAGCCTCCCTGTAAGAGATCCAAGGCTCCCCTGTGGTGGCAACAAGAACAGACCCATAGCCTCCATGTGAGAGATTCAAGGCTCCCCTGTGGTGGCAACAAGAACAGACCCATAGCCTCCATGTAAGAGATCCAAGGCTCCCCTGTGGTGGCAACAAGAACAGACCCACAGCCTCCCTGTGAGAGATCCAAGGCTCCCCTGTGGTGGCAACAAGAACAAACCCATAGCCTCCATGTGAGAGATCCAAGGCTCCCCTGTGGTGGCAACAAGAACAGACCTATAGCCTCCATGTGAGAGATCCAAGGCTCCCCTGTGGTGGCAACAAGAACAAACCCATAGCCTCCATGTGAGAGATCCAAGGCTTCCCTGTGGTGGCAACAAGAACAGACCCACAGCCTCCCTGTGAGAGATCCAAGGCTGCACTGTGGTGGCAACAAGAACAGACCCACAGACTCCCTGTGAGAGATCCAGGGGTGTTTCTTTGACAGTCAGAGTGCCCCTACGAGGCAAAGAACCAACACTCTGCATACAAATAAGCCAAATCTGCAAAATGAATATGCATGAAAAACTCAAGGTCTGGAACAAGATCAAAGTCTGCAAATGGACGAACAACCAGAACTTTCTGCCACAGCAAACAGCCGGTGAACGCAAAGGGAAAAAAAAAAAAACTTATCACAAACTTCATCATTATGTACCATGTTAATAAGTGTCAGTGATCATGGTTCATCTACTCTGAATCACAGATCAGGTAAGTGTTCTTGTCCCGCCAAAGCCATCCAGGTATTTGACAGTCGTCACCAAGTTTTCCAGTTGTTTTTTCCCATCTCATAACATGTAAAAAAAAATCTTGACTGTCTACAGTCTCATTATTTTACATAATAAACATCTGAAGGAGGCAATCAACTTGGGTTATATTATAAGACGAGAAAAACTAGAATATATTTAACAAGGGGTCAGATTGTTTTTTTAAACAACAAAAAAAGAAGAAAAAAAATTATTGAAAGAAAATGCCTACCAACCTTGCACCATAGCATGGAGTGAAAGCACATACATTAATAAAATGTGTTAGAGAATGGAAACCTGAAGTATCAAGGAACTTGATAATGATGACACATATATTAATTAATCGCCACGTGAATATCTACATTGCTTAAGCAAACATGATCACTTTGACAATAACTTCACTGATTAAAATGCAAACTACAGACTCAATGAATGTTCCATTATATTTGTACAGGAAAATTAGACCTATTCAATAAGTTATTAACTTATTTCATTTACTGAATAGGTCATCCGCATTCATAAGACACAGTATTTCAAGATAACAAGATGTATATACATGATACTAGTCCTGTTCAACGCTGTGTAACTGACACAACTGTTGAATTTGCATGTTTTAATTATCCTATTATTACATATTTTAAATAATCATCTGTTATCTACTAGGTTTTTTTTCTTAAGGCTCTCCCTCTGTTCATTCTGCATAGACTTTGAATCTTCCCAAGGTCTGGGTCCTCGGATGTTTTCCCAGTTGTCCACATCCATCTGCTCCATTTCCTAGAGAAGGCAAAACCACTTGGTTAACAATGTAAACAAATGTGCACACATACAGACAAGCACAGAGAGAGAGAGAGAGATTGGGGAGGGAGAAGGCATAGAGACAGCAGGGAATGGGAGAGAGAGGATGGAGGGAAGGAAAATAGAAAGAAAGATGGATATTCACAGTGCTTCGGAAAGAATAAGAGACTTTTAGTTAAGACACCAGTGATGTAACACAGGGGAGCGGTCAGAGGTTAACAGGTAACAGGTAACATAAGGGCTCATAAACTAAGGAAACTCTGATACGGAAGTATAAGATAGGAGATGTCAGGTCACCCTGAGATATACAGGGAAATCCTGATTATCATGTATAGACAGACAGATTGCTTTAAGCATGACAACCAGAGTTCTAAGAGCAGGTGTTGCAATTAAGAAAGCATAAATCTTTCAGCTAGACAAGCAGCCAACGTGAGAGATAGACAAGCTTTCAGAAGGGCAGCCATAACCATACATCAAGAGGATAACACATGTCAAGGGTACCATATCAAGCCGTCATATAGACACAGGAAGGGAAAAGAAAATGGGGGAAGACCCATAAAGACTGTAGAATCAGGGAAGGCTCAACCATGGGCCTAACAAACATCCAAGACACAAAGCAGGCGGCAACATGGAGAGCTATGACCTCTGCCCTAGGCCCAAGAGAAAAGACTAACTAACTGATAGTGATTTGGGGAACGTCAAAACATGTCAGCCTGACGATCTGATGGCTAGAAGTTTGTATCACCATCATCATCATCATCAGGTGCCTTGCCGACTGGCGTGGGAGATCACGCCACTACACAATCCGCGATCTCCTGCAGCATGTATCAGTTCATGTGCTGACACACCTCCATGCCATGCAATAAGACTGTCAAGAATCTTCTCTCGTTGTCTTCCTCTATCCCTCTTTCCACAGATCCTTTCAGTGGTCACAACATGTTCTATTTTCCCTCTTCTCATAACATGACCGAAAAATGATGACTGTCTCCTTCTGATATATGTGATAAGTTGTCTTTGGCCTCCCGCCTTTTTTAAAATCTCTTTGTTGCTCTTTTTGGCTGTCCAAAGAATTTTAAGCTTTCTTATGTGAAACCACAAATCTGAGGCATCAAGAAATTCTTTGGCCTGCCTACCGATTGTCCAGGGCTCACAGCCAAATGTTAAAACTGGATGTATGTAGCAAGCAAGAATTCTTTTTCTTACCTTCAATGACAGAAATATATTGCATAAGAAGTTCTTCTATATATATAAAAATCAATGTTTGTGTGTTTGTTTGCCCCCTATAGACTCGGAAACTACTGAACCGATTTAGCTGAAATTTTCAGGATATGTTTGTTTTGATACCGGATTTTGAACCATCGTGGTTTGAAATTCAACCTGTCACTGTTAGAGATAGGTGACCACAATTTATGCCATAATATTCGCAACTAATATTTATAAATTTAGTGATTTCTAATTATAGCCACGTTACGTGGGATCGATTTACCGTGCATGCGCAGTAGTGACGCTCTATCGTCACATCCGCCCGCAAGGAAAATGGTTATCGGTTTTTAGTTGTGTTATCAAGAAATATATAAAAAGGTAAGAGCATTTATTTAAGTAACATTAGTCAGTATGTACATGTTTTTTGTTTAATTTTAAACAAATGTGGACCACTTCTTAAATCCCGCAATGATAAATGAATACACATTATCATTAACTATTATCGTCTTTCTCATACCTGATAGTCGATACCCATGAGTACCACAAGTAGTACACAGTTTTGGTTGGCTTTCTTCTGTTATTCAAACAAATTATATAAATTTACACGACATTCTTCTCAGGTCAGTGTTAGAATCTAGAAATATCTCAACAGGTGAGCGCATTTATTACAGTGACATCAGCCATTATGTACATTTTTTTAACTTCAAATACATGACATGTGTGGACCACTCCTTAAATCTAACAGAAAGTGATAAATGTCTGCACATTATCTGTTGGCTTTCTCATATTGTCTTATATACCTCCTTTTCTTACTATTTGCTGCCCAGTTTCTATGCATTTCCTCTTGAGTCAAAATAGATTGTTATCTCATGCTCATATTTTCATTTATTTCAGCGATACTTCAAGTCAACTTTCATCATGAGGATGAACAAGCTACTGATGATCAGCGCTCACAAAATTTACAGTTATGCTTCCCAAACGACAAGCGATTGGCCCATCTACACCTAAAACATGCAAGATGAGGGCATTAATTGCTTCAAAAACAGACGAGCAACGTGAGGTAAGACTGGAAACCATTTGAGTGCGCACTGCTGAAGCCCGTTCATCTCAATCAGACCAGCAACGGAAAGCAAGACTCGAAAACATTCAAATGCGCACTACTTTATCCAGGCGAACACTGCATGTTGATTTGAATTTTGGTGCATTCCATTACACCAGCAATTATGATTGGTTTTCATCTACTCTCGCTTATTGGCAAAATGAATAAATTGTGCGTACATTGCAGTGCCTCCAAATTTAAGAATGACTTGCCGGGTATGTGCTGCGCTGGTGGAAAAGTTAAATGGCCAGTATTACATTCACCACCCGAACCATTATCATCATTGATAGTAGGTGACACAGGCCAGTCGACATATTTCTTGGCAAACATAAGTACATTTGCAAATATGTCAACAAAGGAGGCGATATGGCAGTCTTTGGAGTGGGACATGCAGCTGCATCTATCGATGAAATCAAGCAATATCAGCTGGGGCTCTACATTAGTAGCAATGAAGCGGTATGGCGCATTTTCTCATTTCCAATTCATGAATGACATCCAGCAGTTGTTCATTTGGCAGTGCACCTTGACAATGGACAGCGCGTGTACTTCACTACAGAGAATGCACATGCACGAGCATTGTTACCTGTAGTGAGTCATTTTCTCCTCATTAATTTATGCCCGATAGATGACGTCAGTAATAAATGTAAGACGAATGTTTTGACTGGCTGAGATAACACGGGATTTATGTCTTGAGTTTCATGAGAGACATCTGAAAGTCAGGTTTTATGTGAAACATGATTGTTCACAGGATTTGTGTGAAATGTGAATTATCATGGGCCAGACACGACTTTCAACAGTGGGAAATTCGTGAGAATGAATCCAGAATATTCGAGAACAGGATAGATCAGAGGGCTATATAAATAGCGAAGAAAAAGGTTTGTGAGCAGTCTCGTTTTGGACCTAGGAACAGTGTGCATGGACAGCGGTTGGATGATGTGTGGATGCAGCAG